CTAACAAGGTGCATCCAGTTGGCGTATTCAGGTCACGAAGCAGCAATCCCATCCAATAATGCGTCTAATGGTGTGAGACTAGTCCGGAAAACAAAGCTCATCTAGGTATTGTATGATAATACTCTTAGCCTTTCTCTTGTGTTTTTCTGGGCCCTGTGCAGTGGTATGGAAATATTATACCGTTCACTTGTTTGAAACGTATTCACCGCATGGTCTATTTTGAGGAAATGAGGAACTAAAACTGTGTCAATGGATGGCTTACTTTGTGAAGTAAGAAAAACATTTTCATATCACTTTCAGGTTTGTCTCAGATCACTTTTCGGAGTTGCTGTATAGTTGATAAATCAGCCAGGCAAATACGTGCCGTTTCAATTTACAACAATTCCCTAATCCTCCGATGAACCTCATGTGTCCACTGCAGAAGTTACATCCCTTGAGATGCCAGAGACTTGACACTATTCACCTAGGAAATGGTTTTAACCTACATGAGAAGCTGAAAATGACACCAATGATGTATTTAGGATTATGATAATTGTCTGGCTTCAAGCCAGAAGGCTCCTCAGATTTCATGCGGAAAGATAAAATCAGGACTCTTTTACGTTCTTGGAAGCGTGCTATGATATTGTTATTGTCTCGAGGGTATTCCTCATGCCGGCAGCAAAACGCTTTAAAATACAATCCATAAATTACCTTAGATGGAAAAAGCCCTGAATTCTCTTCAAAATAAGTGTCCGTTTACACACTAACCAGAGATACCAAATGAGGTCCTTCCTATTCTGGAGCCAACCATTATAGCAGCACCTGATGAAATAAAAGTTTTTTTTGTTTTTTTTGTTTCATTCACTTAATGAACAATTTGAGATTAGAATGGGACATAACTTGGAAGTTTGTATATCACCCAGGATCTTTTAGTCCATCCATGTAGCTGCTTCAATCAAAACAAAATCAAGCCCTTCATAGTGGCCAAAATGTTCATGTTTTTCTCTTTGGAAAGCTTGGGAATGTCATGGGAAGAGTTTGCCACCTGCTGGATTTGCACGGGAATACTTGCTGCATACTGTGACTTTCCCAACGTGTCCAAACCTTTTCATAATGATACTTCCCATGGAGCACAACGTCAGGACATGATGTTTATTATCATTTGCGCCAACTTGGGAAAAACCATCAAAATCCAGGCAAATCCCTGCATTGGGAGGCAATAACATCACGTCAGTTCCTCCAAATCACCTCTGCACCAACAAAACAAAGACTGAAAAATGAGAATCCCAATGGCTAATGGAAAACCACATTTGTGTGATAACATAATGGAAAGTGGCCATCTGGCTTACATTTCCCAGCATACCTCTACTGACGGTCCTGGTGGAGTGCAGAAGAGTGTCCGTCAGTGCACCGCAACATCCCCAGGGCAGCATTACTCGTTGGAGAGCCCTTGTTTTCCGGCCCAGGCCCAGCTGATTAAATACACAAAATCCAGCTCGGGTCACTCACGTCTGGAGCTCTTCACAAGCAGATCGAAGTCCGATTAGTCAACACGCTGATTTAAATCAATACCCGTTCCGAGCAATTCTCGCCGCAGGAGCGGGCCAACTTTTCCCAGCCAGCTGTCAATACGCTCAAGTCCATGAAAGGGTCCCCTCTTGAATCCAATCAACCAAGTGAGCACACACAGAGGATCTTGTTACCAGCGTGACGTTAATGACCCCATCCAGACCTTCTACATGTACATGTGTGTTGCATTTAACATACTCACCTTGCTCTGGTAAAACACAATAGAGCATTATTGGCACACCTGGATCGTCTCACTTGACATGCAGCCCCTATTCCCAAGAACCCCCTGCATATGTAAGGAAAGTGTCAAGACATTCGCCAAGGTTGAAGATGTTTTTGGTACACTGGTTATTAGTACCGTCAAGCGTTCACAAAAAAAAACCATTAGAAAAGGAGGAAAATAACGATTGAACCATGTGGAATAAACATTAGAAGTCTAGCATTACACAACATTAGAAGTTTTGATTCCCATAGTTCACTAGCACACAAACTAAGTAAATACCGATCTCGGAATTTCCTGTTACGGTTAACATTCCGCAGCAGATTCGCTTGTGTTTCAGGATACAGTTTTTACAAAGTTCCATTGAGCTTCACGGAAGCCCTCAAGAAACTAGAAGTTATACAAGTATGACTCTTTCCTTTTGCATTCAGATTGGATTTCCGATTTTAGTAGCTACAATAAAGCAATTTAATATGCAGTATCATACAAGAACTTGACCTACTTTTGCACCTTAGGCCTACTGAGAAAACAAAACGCAACTTAACCCCAAAATACAGTGATCCCAAAAAGATTTTGGACATTTAAGCCACACTTCATTTGTATGAATGATACTGATATTAGTTGATATGTTAAGTCAGTTTCCCTCAAGTACACATCAGATTAAACTATAGACATGTTTCACTAAAGTTACATTAAGCTAAGTATGCAAAATTACTTTGGACACCAACAAATACTTCCAAAAAAATTTAAATATACTAAAAACATCTAGCTCATAATTTATAATTCACCAAATCAAACACACTAAAACCAAACAAAAATTAAAACCAAACAAAAAACAGATGAAACCTTTAGGAAAGCATGTTTGTACTATCTTTTTTCTTTTTTTTTGCCAAAAATGAAGTCATTTGGTTTGATCTAATGCAGTGACACTCGCACACTCATTTAAGTGTCCAAATGCATTTTGGGGTTACGGTGTTAGACATTACACAACTTAAACGTTTTTCTTTTCTTGACAAACACATGTGAATCGAATAGAAGAGTGACGTATACGTGCGTCTGAAATCTTATCTTTTGTTTATTCTGTGAAATCAAGGGACAACATACGGAGCATGAACATTTCCGAAGGAATCCAAGCATCACTAAATCACTATCAATGCAGTCTGAAATCCTTAAAATGTTTCGAGTTACACATGTGCAGTTACTCAGTTTCATAGGACAAATATAACACATAATATACATGGTTTATGTACACTCTTATGCATTTCTCTATCGGTTAATATCTGTCTTATCTACACAGGCGAGGGTTAAAGGCAGGCCAAAAAGGAATGCATTCAGCTTGAGTTTTATGGGACGTATTCCCAAAATTATGACAGTAACTAAAAAAAAAAAACACTTTAATAAAAAAGACAAAATATGGATAATAAAACAGGATATGAAAACATGAAATGAATTTACAGGTATTACAACAAATAAAATATACAAACTATTGCACAATGGAGGTATAGAGGACAAATACAGCATAACAGGAGCGCTAACAAAACGTTTGCGAAATTTGTTCAGCTTATTTTTTGTAACCGTAAAAGGCAGAAATGCCAAGACCAAAGACCCCCCTACACATGAAATAAGCCCATTCCCGACCTACGTTACAGCATAAAACATTTCATAGGCCAGGAATTGACATTATTGTCTGGGACATAACAGCTTTCGATTCCAGTCCTAAAGACGATCAGTTTTGTTAAAACGCTCAACTGACTGAAGATTAGTGTAGTACTGGAATCACATAAATTGGTTGATGAGCTAGGCTCCATCTAATACATTTTACATATTTTAAATAAGTAACACTGTTTAGTGTGACACTAACAAGACCAAAAAGTGTTATAAAAAAAAGCAGCTATTTGAGGTCAAAACGACACAAGCTGATTGGAAGCAAAGAAAAAAGAGGAACAAACTAAAAAAAAAAGTGACAGAAAGATGATGTAGCTGAAAGTTAGCAGTGTACTGGGATATGTCACAGTTGTTCGTCTTAACATTACACAACATTTGTGTCCACAACGTTGGAGATGAGCATCAATCATTACGTAAGACAATTTTACCTGTAATGACCGACCACAATAGCTATTCCAACGATCCGAGGTTGGACGAGTGAATACAGATCATGGATAAAAAGTGTTAATAGTGCCAGAAAAAGTATCTACTGTTTAAAAAATAAACAGCAGAAGGTACATAAAAAAAAAAATACAACTTGTTTATTGTTATGTAGTACGATAATTAAATCATACAAAAATAAATGTGCCAGGAAGTACCATCACCAAAACGTTCAAGTCAAATTTAATACTAACTAAAAATTAGGGCTAAGCAAACAATAAACACCAACAGTAATTGCCTGTTTAAAAAGCATCTATTGCGCCTGAATTCACAAAATTCACGTTGCCACGGTAATTTATTTAAGCTAAACTGATTGTGCTTTCAGTGACCAACAGGTGTTTAGTAGTCCCGACTTAGTTTAACATTTTAACACATTAAATCTGTTCTGCGGATATTTGCAATGAAGATTGCAAAAACGCGAAACTGAAAATGCGGAAGAAAGCTTACCACATTCCATCCAGGCCTATTTACGGGTTCAAACAAAAACGATATTACTAAATAGCACAACTGCAGGATTGTGATTTCAGGCCCACAGATTATGCAGATACAAAATTAGTAACAAATTAAAGATGAAAATCTAAATAGTAAAAAATGTAGATATTTATCAATTCCCTCATGTAGGCGCTTGTTTTCATTTAAGCAAACAAATTTTATACCACAGTGCAGAACTCAACAATAAGGTTGGCTCAAAAGATAACCAGTATGAATCTGTTTGAGGCCACTGAAAATCTCAAGATTTGTGCAGACTGATGTACAAGATTTGTTGATCTTGTACATCAATCCACTGTGAACGACTGACAGAACAATTGACAGACAGAATGAACGAATAAACAAACGAATGAAGGATAGAAACGAACGATAGAACAAACAATAAAAAGAACCAAAACAAACGACAGAATGAACAATAAAAATAACAAACGATAGATAGAACAAAAGAACGAACAAACAAACAAACGAATGAACAAACGATAGATAGATATAGCACAAACGAACAATAGATAGACAGAATGAATGAATGATAGATAAAACAAAACAAAAAAAATGATAAATGATAGATAGAATGATCAATATGAGAGAAATTTTTTTAAAGAAAATATTTCTAGCAAATAAAATGGGGCCAGAAAAAAAATCCTTACTGTTGAGTCCTGCAGTGGTGTCAACCAGTTGAGCCTTTTAACATGGGAAAAAATAAAAATTAAAACAAATCAGTGCAGTTGTAGAAGCTTTGCTTAACCTTCTTCTCTGAACAGTACTGTGAAATAAAAAAAAAACAAGTTCACTTCTGAATCAAACGACACTTCCAGAACCACAATGCCATTTGTTCAGCTTTATGTCACGTCAAGAGCTCCTTTCAGACATTTAGTCTGCAGGCGCTGCTGTAATTCCAGTGTGTACCATACTGACTACAGCCAGAGCCAGTAAAAGTTATTATTTAGCAGATGCTCTTTATCCAAATCGACTCACAGTACGTTTACATCAATTGAATTCAGGAAGAAACCTGGAATTAAGTGCCTCGCTCAAGGGAGGGAGTGTAGCGTCATTAATTCAAGTTTCTGGTTCGACCCTACCTGGCATCTAAACGCAACTTTCTTAGCAGTTTCTCAGTCCCTTTTTTCCCAACCATTGGAGATAATGAATTGCAGAGACCGATAACGGTCTTCAAATGTCCATGGCTCTGATGATGCACATTTACACACACAAATACACTTTAAATAAACTATATAGTCCATCTGAGAGGTTAATGCAGTGCATGTGAAGTGAATTAGCTGATTCACAAACCATAGGCCGCCCTCCTGCACATGAACACAAAAGGACAGAGGTTTAACGGTCTTGCATGTGTTTTATCTTGGTCCATCACGCACGCACACAATCGTCGCTATAGTGTACAGAAGGGTGGATCTGAGGGGAAGGTGGTCAGGCGTTGGACATCTCGGCCTTGCTGAGAGCGATGGCCAGTTCCAGGTCTTCCTGCTCCTGCTGGCGGAGTCTCTTCAGCCGCTCTCGTTCTGCTCTCTCGCTTTCCCGCTTCGCCCACTCCATCTGCTGGGCTTCATTCCCAAACTGGGCCGGAAAAACAGGAACACGCCACGTTAAGAACCATTTTTCCCAAATTGGGGATTGCACAATGGTGTGAATCACTGTGGTCAAGCTGTGGTCTGAACTTATCGGTACAGTGCTTTGCTTTAAAAATCAAGTTTAAATGTACTAAAATGATAGATAGACACATATTTGCATATACAAACAGCTACACAAATAATACATCTTTGCCACATTTTACCAAAAAAAGGCATCAAAAAACATTAAGTGTGTCATTTCTGTGCCACTAGCGGCACGTTGAATCAAGAAATAAAGTGAGCATCTGTTTGGCCAACAATGGAAGACCATTTGAAACTTTAGATTTTTGTGAAACTGTTCAGTGCTGGTAACAACACCGAAATCAATTTTCTCAATATATGCTAACGAGAGATTGAACATTAAATGAAATCAAATTAACCCTTGTGCTGTGTTCTGGTTATTTTGACCCTTTTCCCCAAAACGTCTAGTTAAAGTTATCGAACTGCTCACACAGTACATAACTAAAAATAATTTTTGTACTTTTTGGTGATTTTTTTTTGGGGTTAGCAAAAATGACTGGCCTACAAAAAATTTCATAGAGATTTCTTGTTATGCTAAATTATTACCAAATATTGGATGCAATCTTGTTACCAACTTGTTTTCTTTCAATTAGCACAGGTTTTGTATTTCTTTTTTGGAAGTGACTGATCATAGGCATTGTTTATATGAGCTTATACGCCTTAGTTTTTTAGTGAACGCTGCCAAATTTGTCTGCAAATAAAGCTTTTTTTATCTCAGTTCAATGAAGCCTACAATAAATCGGCTCTAAAAAGAAGTACAAAATCTGTGCTAATTGAAAGAAACAAGTTGACAAAAAGACTGAATCCAAGATTTGGTGATAATATAGCATAATGAGAAATTTACAAGCAGTTTTTAAAACACCGGCCATTTTTTAATGGGAACACCAAATTAAAGGATTTTCAGCACAGCACAAAGGTTAAAAGTGTATAGATTGATCTTGCACGTTTACAAATGCATGCATGAACATTTTCTGTCAAATTATTCAGTGACCTTCATTTGTGATTGCAAAATGGCAAAAGACAAGCAAGATTCACCACATTTTCAGACAGATCTTACCTTAATTCGCTCAGTTCCTGCAAGAGAGGAATGGATTACAAAAAAAAAAACACAAAAGAGGTTTACACCAAACTACCACCCAACCATCCACCGAACTTGCGCACACACACACACACACACACACAAATGCTGATTGGACACCAACAGACCACTACCACTGATGACACATGATGGACCTTTTTAATTGGTCGTTAATAGCGAATGGACAGGAAAATGAACATGCATTGATCTCGTGCAGCAAGATATGACAGAAGGAAAAGACATTACAAAGCATTTTCAATTGAGAGCTTCAAATCGTGTACAGTGATATATAGGCGTAATATATGCAACATAACATGCACACTAAGTTGACTACAGGTGAATGAGAGCATTGCTGAACCACCCTGAAGGCCTCAGAAAATCTGAACTTAAACAGAGTTTTCGAAATTGTTTATTTTTCATTTCTTTGTAATATCACGTGCATCAACTACAGCTACAATTTAATTATAATGTTTTAAATAAACGGTTTAATACAAAAAAGTTAAAAAAAAATTTTTAACTTACATTATCGAAAAAAAATATTCCAGATGAGTCTGTTAAAATGTGTAATTTTTTGCAGCCATTTTCTTTTTAGTTTTTTAAGATACAAAGTTATAATACCATTGGTATATTTTTTCATTGTAAACGATGCAATTATAATTCTTCCATTGAGTTTTTGGTCACATAACAAATCAGAGATGGTTTAGCAGGTCTATTGCACCTAAGTCACGCACAGCGATACTAAGGACAGGAGGCAGGGTGGATGAAGATGATGCTATGTCAAACATTGTGGCTCTAGGATCAAGCGGATTTGCAGTATGGAGCGTAGAGTGATCCCATGCGGAGGAAAACAACAGCCTGAGAGCTTAGTGATACTGACACTTCCCACGTCAAACGATTGCCCCAATCAACTTCGAAACGGGACCTCGCAGCCATTTTTCTGAATACTTTGACTTCAGTTCTAGTCCTTTAGTAAACAAGTTTACTAAACCTTCTGTGCGATTTCAAACACGAGGATCAAGGTTTAAGTGAGCTGAAAAAACATTGTTTGAGATAAGATCAAGATGATGATTATACTTGTTCCAGCATAATGAGAAATTTACAAGCAGTTTTTAAAACACCGGCCATTTTTTAATGGGAACACCAAATTAAAGGATTTTCAGCACAGCACAAAGGTTAAAAGTGTATAGATTGATCTTGCACGTTTACAAATGCATGCATGAACATTTTCTGTCAAATTATTCAGTGACCTTCATTTGTGATTGCAAAATGGCAAAAGACAAGCAAGATTCACCACATTTTCAGACAGATCTTACCTTAATTCGCTCAGTTCCTGCAAGAGAGGAATGGATTACAAAAAAAAAAACACAAAAGAGGTTTACACCAAACTACCACCCAACCATCCACCGAACTTGCGCACACACACACACACACACACACAAATGCTGATTGGACACCAACAGACCACTACCACTGATGACACATGATGGACCTTTTTAATTGGTCGTTAATAGCGAATGGACAGGAAAATGAACATGCATTGATCTCGTGCAGCAAGATATGACAGAAGGAAAAGACATTACAAAGCATTTTCAATTGAGAGCTTCAAATCGTGTACAGTGATATATAGGCGTAATATATGCAACATAACATGCACACTAAGTTGACTACAGGTGAATGAGAGCATTGCTGAACCACCCTGAAGGCCTCAGAAAATCTGAACTTAAACAGAGTTTTCGAAATTGTTTATTTTTCATTTCTTTGTAATATCACGTGCATCAACTACAGCTACAATTTAATTATAATGTTTTAAATAAACGGTTTAATACAAAAAAGTTAAAAAAAAATTTTTAACTTACATTATCGAAAAAAAATATTCCAGATGAGTCTGTTAAAATGTGTAATTTTTTGCAGCCATTTTCTTTTTAGTTTTTTAAGATACAAAGTTATAATACCATTGGTATATTTTTTCATTGTAAACGATGCAATTATAATTCTTCCATTGAGTTTTTGGTCACATAACAAATCAGAGATGGTTTAGCAGGTCTATTGCACCTAAGTCACGCACAGCGATACTAAGGACAGGAGGCAGGGTGGATGAAGATGATGCTATGTCAAACATTGTGGCTCTAGGATCAAGCGGATTTGCAGTATGGAGCGTAGAGTGATCCCATGCGGAGGAAAACAACAGCCTGAGAGCTTAGTGATACTGACACTTCCCACGTCAAACGATTGCCCCAATCAACTTCGAAACGGGACCTCGCAGCCATTTTTCTGAATACTTTGACTTCAGTTCTAGTCCTTTAGTAAACAAGTTTACTAAACCTTCTGTGCGATTTCAAACACGAGGATCAAGGTTTAAGTGAGCTGAAAAAACATTGTTTGAGATAAGATCAAGATGATGATTATACTTGTTCCACTACCTTGTGGAAGTGTGACCACACGGTAGGGCTGGGCGGTATATCGAGTTTGTACGATATATCGATACTTTCTTTATAAGCGATACAATATGAGGCAATACCGTTTATATCGATATACAGTAGTTTGATACGAGCGCATCTGAAAATATAGCGGAGGACACAGACTGAGCTGCTGCGGAGAAAAGTTTAATGTGTTTGAGATGTGCTGTGTCCCTTAATGCATAACTTGCATTTCACAGGTATATTCTCCATCTGTAAATGTAAAAGTGCATGAGCCTTATGCTTTGGGATTCTCCACTAAACTTCACAGACTTCCGTGAACTAGCGCCGCCGCGCGCCAAACAGACGGAGCCCAATATATAAATATCAGCACAGTAATTCTGACTTAAATATAGATTTCGCTGAAATATTTGTAGTTGGACAATGAATGTGACATGTAGAATTTTAAACCCACAAGTAAGTACATTTTTATGATAGCACTGAGTGTAAAGTGACAGTAATGGGGTAATCAAAACGGCCTAACACAACGCTGTGCTTTTGTTCTCATTTATTTTCATTTTTAGTTTAGTGAATTTAACTTCCGAATTTAACTTAATTTTTGTTTTTAGATTGCAATGTTACAATGTTAGAATGAAATGTGATTTTAACCCTTTTTTGCACATAGTATAAGTATAAAGGCTTACATGGTTACATTCACTTTATTTTTTTTTCATAGCCTTTATGTATTGTTTTGTTGGACAACATTGGGCAGTAAGTGAAATATATATTAAATACAGATTTTTTTTAAAAATACCAATACAAATACGAAATATATACCGTATATCGCAAATCGGCCAAAAAAAAAAAACGAGATATGAATTTTTGCCCATATCGCCCAGCCCTACCACACAGCAGATGTGTCAATACAAGCTTCCCACACTTCTTGAAATATGACCTGATGGCTGATAAGAGAATGGTGAGAACCAGAGCTAGTTTAGAAAGAGTCCATAATAGGGACGAGTTGTTGATGAAAGAAAGAAAGAACGAAAAACAAAAGCACTTTCAAGAAAGTTAGGTTTCTTTAACATGGGTAATTCTATAAAAACACTGATGTTTTTGAGTGAACGAACATTGGGATGTTTATGAAACTTGCGTTTCTTGTCGTTGAAATCAAATGATCCATGCTGCAGGATCATAAGGTGCAAATATTGATATTGTCAAATTTGATTATACTAAAAAAAAATGTTTAAGCGAACAAACTTTCAAAATGCAACGTACACTTCTATTAGGAAATAATCCAACGGGCATCTTTGCGGACAATGCGGCTAAAATACTGACAATAGACAAATTGGTTAAACAATAGACATAGACTTTTGTTCAAATGAACATTTGAGACGAAAATACTGATATTACGAATTTTAATTATACTAGAAACACTGATGTTTTTAAGTAAAAAAATCGAGATGCAAAATAAAATTTACATTTCATTTAGGAAACTATCAGACGGTCCAACTGTGTGGACAATAAGGTGAAAATATACATAATAGACATTTTGGTTAAACAATAAACACAGACATTTGTGTTCAAAAGAACTAGCTAGATTTGAGACGAAAATACTGACATTACGAACTTTGATTATACTACAAACATGGATGTTTAAGCAAAACAAATTTCGGGATGCAAGAAAATTTATGTTTCTCTTAGGAGCCAATCAGATGGTTCATTTTGCAGACAAAGGGACAATACTGACATCAGACACATTAATAACACACAACACTGACGTCTTGTTCAAGCGAACTTTTGGGTTAAAAAATTTACATTTCTCGTCACAGGCCAATCAAAAGGCCCACACTTTTGTCCATATAGTGAAAATACTGACATAGGGCACCCTGATTATACTTTAAACACTGATGTTTTGTTTGAGCGAACACATTTTTGTGATGCTGACGAAAAAGATTTCTTTTAGGAGTCAGTTAGATTGTCTACTTTGCAGACGATTAAGCAAAAATACTGACATAACATACATTTTAGAATAAACACCAACATTTTACGATAACAAACTTCTGGGTTGCGAGAAAACTTGCGTTTCCATTAGATAAGAAGCAAAAATACTGATATTGTGCACATCGTAACGCTGAACACTTACGTTTTTTTTGTCGATCACTTACATTTACAAGTAAACAGAAAAATATCATCTGATAATTTGCTATATGATTTCTAACCTCGTTATGCACGTTTTTGCAAAATACTACATCTTTACCACCAAACTAAAATTAGCATAAACTATACAGTAACTCATCTTGATTTGAAGTACATTCAAACCAAGACCTTACTTTGACTGCTTTTGAATGACAATTGCAGCCTGAATAGTGTTTCTTTCAAAAACAAAACATTTGCATAAAAGCTAACAAAAAAGTCACAGAAGAACAGCAAGAAGCCACATTAGCTTAGCCGAGAGCGCTTGGTATTACCAAATGCGACCGCTTCTCTCTTCCCACAAGCCCATGCAAATGCTGAGCAAAACGACAGATGACATCATAGCCATGTGCACCACAAACAACTGTATTTGAGTCACTGAAAGAGATAGAGATGATGCCTGGCTGCTTGATTAGGGCTTATTATCCTGAATTCTGTGCGTTGGTGAGTTAATCACAGATAGATGGACTGCAGACATGGAGGAAAATAAATGAGTAGCCGGCACAAGGTGACAGACTGAGCGATACAGAAGCCAATGGTGCGGTCTGCTCTAGGAAACCTCACTGATGATCGCTAGAAAGCACTTTTTTTGGTTTGTTGGTTGGTTTTTATTTCGATTTTGGAAAGAAACAAGTGGACCGGACAAGAGAAGAGTATCACTAAGCTCAACTTACAGAGCTGAAGTCTGCAAAACCCAATGAAGAGTCTTTAGAGGCTTTACTTGAGGCAGATGGAGCAAATGGGTCTTTGCCACTAAATGGGTCTCCCACCCCCTTTTTACTCTGAAACGGATCAGCGGGGTCGGCACTAAAGGGCTGGAAGGGATCGCTCGTCTTGTCCGAATCGGCGGATCCGGGCACATTTACAGGAGTGCTTTTACCTGTTGAAAAACAGCAGTTTTCATTTTGAGTGTCTAAGCCAGCCGTTTTGCATCATTTTTTAAAGCTAAATAACAATACATTGGCCCTGTATAACTTTATAATAACTAATGAATTCTAATTGCTTTACTTACTAAATAATAATAGAAAAAATATAGCGGTAGCTCACTAAAAAAAATCATTTATGAGGTTTAAACCTAAAGAACCTAAACCAAAAGACAACCAGTGTTTAAATATCATATAATGTATAAATGTGTGATGATTTTAAGACATATTAACATTTAAAAAAAAACAATTAATATTACAATATATACCATTAATATTTTTTAAAACATTAATCTAGAACACATTAAATCAAAAGTGGCAGTAAAAAAATACATTTTTGTATTCAAAAAATCCAGAAAAAAATATCAGTTTCCACAAAAATATTAAGCAGCAAAATTTATTGAACAGCAAATCAGCATATTAGAATGATTTCTGAAGGATCATGTGACACTGAAAACTGTAATAACTACTGCTGAAAATTTAGCTTTGCATCACAGGAATAGTTATTTTAAATTGTAATAATATTTCATAATTACATTGTTTTTACTGTACTTTAAAAAAAAAAAAAAATGCAGCCTTGTTGAGTATAAGTGACTTCTTTCAAAAACAAAAAATCTTACCAACCCAAAACTTTTGAACAATAATGTAATTCTTTGTAATAAATAACTAATTTATAATACTAAATAATTAATAATCAAACAATCGTCATTTGCACATATCCTTCCGAAGCTCAACCAAAAAACCCACAGTGGTTCAAGCTTGTATGATGCGGTAACTCGGTCTCAATTCAAAACAACACTGAACTTTCTGTCTCTTTCTACACACACCCAACAAGAGCACTAAATACGGCTCACACGTTGTTGTTTTATAGGAAAGCAGAATGCTTAAAAAGCTTTGCTTAGTATAGAAATTTGCGCAAGAAAAGTAATCACAAACCAGTGAGGACTTTCGGATTAAAAAATGCTTATGCAAACTTCTTTTTTCCCCCCTCTCTTGCACCATTTGCTGAGAATGGCATTCACTTACTCGTGAGAACTTTAAAAGGGTTGCTGGTTCCTCTAAAGGTGTTAACCGCATATTCAATAGGGCTGTTATTTATACCAGAGAAGCAATCAGTTTCTTTCTGTCAGTAAACGGAATACTAAACCGCAAAAAGACTCCACCCTGCTGAGGGAAAGATGTCAAAAACAAGCCGTGCTTTTTAATGATACAATACGTTAACAAAAATGAATGAATTTTCAATTTTACAACAAATTCATTTTAATTTGGGTTTTAAAAATCTAGTCTTCCCAGACAAAAAGTATACATTAATTAGCAAAATACTGCATATTTTTTTATGTTATTTTAAATTTTTATTTAATCTGTTAACTTATTGCCGTTACGTACGTAACTGCTTAAAAAAAATTAACATACTATGGGATACACATAGTTTAACTCCACTTACGATGTTCGAAATGTGTTTTTGAGAGGAGTAAAACATGAAATAAAGTAAAAAGTTGTGGCAGTCAGGCCACACTACCCACTAAAGTGTGTAAACACACACACACACAGGAAGTGGGGAGGGGTGTGTAGATCAGCGCACGATGCTGGCAGTGCAGGCTAACCGCAGATCATCGGAGCATGTTAGCTATACCACCCTGAGTGCACCGAAAAAACCTACTTCTCTAACCTCCACACCAAATTTTAAACCTCGTTTACACCAGGAAAGCACTCCCTTGTTTTCTAGGATAAAAAAAAACATCTTTCTGAAAAAGAAAAAAAAAGAGTGAGTTGCACAGATTCGCCTTTTCCTCCAACTGCCGTCTGCAGAGAGGAAACAGCGCAGGTTTCGTTTTCTCCAGGTGACAAATTTATCTTCCATTCAGGTTAGTTTGTGCACCGTTTTGGAGTTGGATGGAGATATAATACTGCGCCATTGCGCATTAAAGGGGTCATATGATGCTGCTAAAAAGAACATTATTTTGTGTATTTGGTGTAATGAAATGTGTTTATGCGGTTTAAAGTTAAAAAAACACATTATTTTCCACATACTGTACATTATTGTTTCTCCTCTATGCCCCGCTAAAAAAACTAAAAAGCTTAAGCAAACGTATCAAGGTTGTACCTCAATTTCCTGTTGACAACTAATGGAGGAAGTCTTAGATATCATGGATAGTCAGAATTCAGTTTTCTTGAACTTAATAAAAGACTTCTACAACATGAACGTGTGAGCTGCGGTCAACAACTTCTTGTTCAAAGCTGTTTTGCTTTCACTGCTGACAAACAACTAGTTAAAAGAGATGTAGTGATGATACACTTTGAAGGTTTGTCTTCTTAAATGTGAGTGTCAAAAACATAGAGAAAGATCCACCCAAACAACATTCTCCAGGTCTTTCATGTTGGCTGTTTAGATGGCGTGTTTTGACTACGTTTTGTTTATTGCAACAGTTAGCTGTGTAGTTTTAGTAATCGTTTACTTTGAAATACTAGCTTAAACACCTTATATGGTTGTATATGAATTGAAAAGGGTCAATGTTTGTTTTTGGGCCTTGAGATGAAGGTTAAATGCTTACCGCTGGGTGGTTTGGGTCGTGGCGGTATGCTTTTCTTGGGCGGGAGAGCTGGCATGTCTTGTTTTCGGCTGAAGGGGTCGTCTACAAAGCCCTAAATTAAATCGCAGCGGAAAGGAGAAGCGGTGGGCCATTATCAGTCACAAGGTGCAAACCACGCACATTTTGAGTGGGACTTTAATCAAAACCACATCTTACAAATGTCATGTTGCAAAAGCGTGAGAAAGTGAAGTTCCACTATGCTTAAGATGCAAAAGAAAAATGTGTAAAAGGTGTTCACTACCTTTGACATTTGGCTGAAGTCTGCAAATCCGCTGTTGCTGCCGAACGAACTGCTTCCGAATGGGTCCAAAGTACCAAAGAAATCTGGAATTAGGAATTAGAGTATTACAAGTCAAGAAACTGAAAAATTATGTTAGACAGTTTGAAACGTTTAGAGATTATGAGGTTAATTCTCGTATTAAAATTAAAATTTCATATTCTGCTCCCATTTTTCTCTGTCAATATAAGTGGTAAAAAAAAATGAGTAATAGTTAATGATACTTGATCACAATGGAACTTTAAATAAAAAACTTTTATTTTATTTAGTTATTTAAAATAATATAAAGATCAAGGGTCATTGAGGTTTTTATTCAACCACTTTTACGGACTTACTTTTGATTTCAATTTAAAAAAAAATTTTTTTTTAATTAGAAAATAAAAGGTTTTTAATTAAAAGTACCCATACATTTTATTTATTTATAAAAATTGAAAACAAGCTACCAAAAAATTGCCAAATAAATACTTTAGTGACCCTTCATCATAATGTTAAATGAAAATAATAAATAAAAAGTTTTTATTTAAAATAATATTATGGCCAAGGGTTCGTGAATTACTTATGTGACTACTTTTATTGAGTTGTTTTTAATTTTACTAAACAAAATAATGAATAAATAACCAATAAATAAATAGAATGATCTTTATTTATTTAAAATAATATTATGGTCAATAATCACTGAAGTACTCATTTGACCACTTTTAATACATACATTAAACATTCACAATAGTAATAAGATCAAATAAAATGCATACTGAAGCAATCAAACAGGAGTTAAAATTTTCCATTTCAAAAAGTCAAAACAAAAATGTAAAGCATCAATTTGCTTTGTTGCCTTTGTGTTTTTTTTTTTTGCCTTCAACCCACAGGTTTAAAAAAAAAAACGTGTTGAGCATTTCCTGGCATCGCCTCAGTGTTCAACAATGCTGCAACCGAATGCTGCATTAACTGTTTACTGAAAGAGCAGAGGAATTTCACGTCGTTCAGGCAGCCAAAGGGGCCTGCGAGCGGACTTATTGCATGGGAACTCTTTTGACAGCTTCTTCACACGTGTTCTCTCGAACTGCTCTCCGAGTGGCCTTTGGAAAAAAAAAGACAAAAGTGTCGCCACTGGGCACAAGGTGTGAAAGTATTATCTTGCTTGAGTTGTGTAATGCACCCTAAGCATGTCCCTCAAGGTGTTTGTGAGGGAAACGAGGCATTTTCAGCTGATACCAGATCAGTTTCAGAGGTTCAAGTTCTGTTGCATGCAGAGATGAAGAAGCCGATCTTTGCACAGCATCTTCAAAGAAAGGGAGTGGCAGAGATGTTATGATTCAGCTAAATAAGTGAGAGACACATGCAAACGGCATACCTTGGCCTTTCGGTTTGGGGCTGGTGGAGCTGAAGGGGTCATTACTTGAAAAATTATGACTCTACAAGACAAAAGAAAAGAGATAGTTGAGAAACAAGGCAGAGAATCAGGGGAATAATGTGATTTTGTTGGTTTTCTAGGTACCTTTGAGGGAAGTGTGGCACTTTTGCTAAAAGGATCGGCGTTGCTGAAGGGGTCTGGCTTAGAGGGTTTCTTGAAGAAATCTTCAGAAGAGGTCCTAAACGGGTCGGTCTCTTTGAAAGGGTCTCCTCCGAAAGGATCTAAAAGATTTTACAGATTAATGTAACTGTCACGGGAAAGTCTTGAATTTGAATACCATCAATTTAAATTATATCATTTTATCAAGTTGCTATCTTTAGCCCAATTTTATGAGAGTTGGGGAACTGAAAGCCTCATTTATTACCAAGGGGGAACTGTGCCAAGGTAACTGAACATGATGTTTAAACACCATGAAGCTTTGGGCAAGAACTGTGGTGTCTTTAATGAAAAACTGAAATATTGCCATTTTAAACATTTTCTAATAGGGGAACTTTTATATCCATCAATAATGAGAAGCATTTCACAATGCATTCATAATTAAATTCAATTTATATTAACAAATTTATTTATATAATGCAATTTACTGGTAGAGGCTTAAATATTAATTTGAGCCATATAATTATATACAATATATATATATATATATATACACACACACACACACAATATATATATGCGTGTAAACTTATTTTATATCTAACATATATTATATTTCGTATATTTACATTTATTGAAGTAATTCACTTATTTTCTAACCTGACTGAACAGATCATGTTAGTATGCATATTAATAACAGCTTGAAATCAAATATTTTTAAAATGGATTTAGTATGGATACTAAGTTGATGCAGTATGCATACTAAATATACACTAAATATACATTTAGTAAGTAAAAGATTAATTTATTTGATATCTTCTAAGTTCAAAGCTCAACACTGGAGAGGTGCTTCATGTATTTCGATGGACTGGATACCTGCAACTGTGGAGGTCTGCTTTGAGAATGGGTCATTCTGGAACGGATCACCTGTAATAAACAAAAGGAAAGAGGGAGATGTGTTTAGTAGCCATTACAAAGGCTTCAAAAGCTTGGCTCCAAAAATGTGCCACACAAATACCAGTAAACAGGAATTTGAAATTAAACGCAACGTATTTATGCTTAGTATAGCATTCAGATTCATCTCTAAGGAAGGGAGGTATTTAATTTGAGCAGAACAAAAGGGCCTACCTTTGAATGGGTCTGTTTTAAATGGGTCTTCAGACTGGAAGGGGTCTGTGTGCATCTCCTGCGGGGTGCTGTTGAACACAGTGGTTTTCACCTTGAAAGGGTCTTCCTGTAATGGGTTTAAACAAATAATTGTTGACTGTAGATGTTTGCTTTCACACTGATCTGAGGCCTCTTTTATTGATTCTCTTATATAGAAGGTTTTAGGTAAGAGGGGCTGAACATGGATCAAATTTGCTGTTTTATGTTCAAAAGCAAGAGTATTTTCTTTCTTAAAGACATTGTAGAACTCATTTTATAGTTGATTATGATAACAGCTTAACCTGTTAGCTTTCAACCCAGATGTCTAATAAATGGGCCAACACTATATTCGGGGTCCAGCTGAAAATGTCTAGCTCAAACCAGAAAAGATGGAAAGCAAGAACTCTTCAGAGAAAAAAATATTTGAAACAAGAACCATGAAGTCTAAATTTCAGTCATTTTGTGCCTACAATTTGCAATTTAAGCCAGCACCTCAGCTGTTCCAAATAACATAAGAAGCTCTGTTAAAAGTGCTGGGTTTCCAAATTGTACCTTTGCATACAAGCCATAATTCAGAAAGAAAAGCAAGCAAAGTTCTCCCTCAGAAACCAGAGAATGTCAAAAGAAATTAAATCGCAATCACACGAGGAGTGAGCTTCATGATTATTCAGAAATACTCCAAATTAGAAAAAATAAGAGACAAATAACTGTGCAACTATGAAACTTGATATAATCATGAAGACATGTATTCAGTCCAGCCTGTTCCTGTTTAAAATGTGTGTGTGTGTGTGTGTGTGTGTGTGCACAATACTTTCCTGTCATCTCTCCACTGTCCTACCTGAATAATAAAGGAATAAACCCCCCCAAAAAATATTTTTAATAATAAATTTTAATAATGATTACATATTTTGTATTACTTTTACAAATCTTTTTGCATTATTATTTTTCATTTTTTATAACAATTATATAACATATTTGTATAAATATTTATTTGTTAAAGCCTGTTCCTGTTTAAAATGTGTGTGTGTGTGTGTGTGTGTGTGCACAATACTTTCCTGTCATCTCTCCACTGTCCTACCTGAATAATAAAGGAATAAACCCCCCAAAAAAATATTTTTAATAATAAATTTTAATAATGATTACATATTTTGTATTACTTTTACAAATCTTTTTGCATTATTATTTTTCATTTTTTATAACAATTATATAACATATTTGTATAAATATTTATTTGTTAAATAAATAACAATAACTCAATATATAACTGTGTGTATTGCATTAAAAAGTAATGCAAAAAAAAGTAGTAGCTGTTTTGGTTACCAATGACTTTCATTGTATGAACAAAAAATACTGAGACGTTTCTCAAATCATCTTCTTTTATGTTCCATAGTTTACGTCAGGCCGTTATAGCCTAAATGTTTATGTGTAATAGATTTGACATTGAATCAACTAAAATATTTATTTCTAAAGCTACAATTTGTAATGTCTACTTGATAATTTCTCATTTAACACAAAAATATCTTTAAATAATATTTTGAATTTTGAATCAAATTTATTTTGCGATTAATTGCGATTAATTAGATTAATCGGAACGTCATGTAATTAATTAGATTAAACATTTTAATCGTTTACCAGCCCTAATATATATATATATATATATATATAGAGAGAGAGAGA